AAGACTAATGAACTACTAACCACCAAAAACAATGTTCTATGTAATCTACTTTAGGAACTTTTTGGTAGATATTTAATAAATCAACAACCATACATGACTGTTTGATAATGGCAGGCTCATACCAATTGCCATATTTGTTTATAGTAGTATTAGTGTATGCAAACTTAAAGTATTTACAACTGTAAATGCTCATTCAACTGCTTGAAACATCAACCAGAATCAACATTAGAATCAGGTCAAATTTAGTTAACTTTCCAAGCTTTTAGTTTGATTTCAGTTTAACAAAATGATTTAAACTTAAAAAAAAAGTGATAAACTGCTTCCATCATCAAACGCTACCTGAGTCAAAGTCTGTGAGCTTCTTTCGTGAAATTTTTCTTCCCGCATACTTTTTCTCATTGTTTACAGACTCTGCTGCTGCTCTCTGTCGTAGTTTAGTTGCTGGCAAGGGAGCAAACTCATCCTTATCCTCAGTCTTCTCTGTTAACTTTGCTGCTGTAACTGAAGGAAAACACAAATTTAGATTAACAGCAAGCGGAGCAAGCTCAATAGACTAACATGTAAGAAATTAGGAAATTCAGAATGACATATACGTCCGGCAAATTTTAGTGTGAAACCTTCCCAGAATTCCCTCATAACCAGGATTCCATGCGATAATGGCAAATATAAAAATAATATAAAATGCCTGCAGTTTGCCGAGAGCTTAAAATTAACAAAAAATAATTGCTTTTACTCGACAATGTATTTCGTTCAAAAATTGCACTAGGCCTGTAGTCTTGTTCAACCAGACGCTTGGCTGTCTCCGTAAATTCCGACGTTATGTGACGTCACAGTCTAGACTGTCTCATACGGTTTGGAAGTTTGAAGAGGTGGATCAAAATTTACAGGTGTAAGCTGTGTAAAGGTTTTTGATGGTACAACTGCGTTCACCCAACGGTCACACCGTAAAACATATTACAGCGAGCGCAGCGAGCGGCGCGAAGCGCCGCTCGCAATGTGAGCTCTAACGACAACGCCTGGGCGAAGAGAAAATTCGGACTTACACATTGATCCAAACGAATTTTTTTCCGCAGTAACTTTTGGACCCACAATGCATCGCTTGTTTAAGCTACGTTCTCGCGAGAATAACAACAACAGTTTAACAAAAAAATAAACTCGCCTCGATTTAATGGATATATTGCAGATAAATAGTAAATAAAACGTTCTTCTTTAAAGTCAACAATATTTCCGGCTTCGGTTTGGTAATGCAACCTAAATACGACGTCATATGACGTCAGAGTCTAGACGTGAAATGTCATGTGCAGTTTGACGATCGAGCCCGATCTAAATTAAACCTGAATAAATATCTGCGCTCGCCCTAACAGTCGCACCGTCAACATATTAAATTAAGACATTGGATTAGGGCATAAGTAAAGTCAAGGACCTATATAGGTCCCTGGTAAAGTATTCTGCTGTTCATGACCCATAGGTGTGTTGTCAAAATCTTCTGTCTTGTGTATGCTACAGATAAAAGAAACACAAAAGGAGAATTCCGGATGAATGTCTAAATTTAATCTGACAAATTTAATCATACATCATGTACATAGGCCAGACCAGGCCTATACCATATTAACGACTCGATCATTGTTATAATTATAGAAAAAATACAATCACCCATACCATCCTCTAAATCGTCCTCTGGATCGCAGAAAACAGGAGCTGGGGTTGTTAATTTTGCTATTTCCTCTCTCAGATTCATTGACATGCTTTCCTGTTTGCCATATAAATCCCGAGGATGCTCGGAAATATTACACGAAGTGTTCCGAATATATTATAATCGGTTTGTATATCTATTGATATATGGAAAAGAGAAGATTATGCAATTTTAAGGTTCCCCTTACTATCCATTTTCTACAATTATCTTACAACAGATATTTTTCACTTCATTTTCGTCTCGAGTATCAGTATGTAAACAAACTCGCGTGGCACACCCACAATGCATTGCAAACAAAGATGGCAGCTCCCATGGAAAAGTCACTGGCTTGATCACGAGTTTTATTATGCTAAAAAACTTGAAGAAAGTAATACAAAAACAAGTTTATGATATTTTATCACATAAATATGGAATTTTTATGGTTATTGCAGCAGCTGTCATCCTGATAGTGGCAACTTTACACTTTGGAGAGGTGAGGATATTTATTTCCATCTACCGGTGTGTGATGGGCGGGGGCATACGATATTACTGTCACTTGCACATTACTCAAAGCTTATCTTGAAATGGGAACTATATTGTTTAAAGTTCATTCACACAGAGTTAAAAAAGACTTATGCAGGAATTGATATATGTTTAATATATATGCATTTTTGAGACTTAACCATGTTAACAGCCACTAAATTAATTGCCTAGATTGTTGGCCAATTTATGTCCCAATTTTTTTTTCTGTAGATGTTTCCTGCATTTGTTACTGCTTGCCTAGGCCATGGAAATTTTAAATATGTATCTTAAGATTGAGCTATTCAATTGATTACAAGGAAGGGCTTTGAAGCTTTGGGATTGCTAGTAATGACAAAATTGATGATGTTATTTTGCTTTTTGCTGAAAACTAGGGCTCCACCCTACAATTTATTGATCGTTAATGACAAGCAGAGTGATATATATTTCCAACTGGTAGACTTATTAAGCTCCACCAACCCCTTTTTTTCCTAATTTAATTAAAATTAGATCTTTCTACTCTCTCAATATCTTACAAATATCAAAACAGTGCAGACAAGAAATGCAAATGCATTTATGACATCTTTTCTCTCCACCACCAAATTATAAAACTGTACAGTATGTGTGTTTAACAAAAAATCTTGGACATTGTACACATTGAGGTGTTTAGTTAGTTATATGTACTGTCAGTGTTTTATTCTCTGACTGTCCAGATTGGTTATTTACTACATTCATATATTATGTCTTTTTTTGTGCATCTAGTGGGTGGAGCTTCAATCTGCTTTCAATGAGAAGCAAATTAGAAACATCTGCTATGTCACTCTGCTTTGTAAAGCTTTCAACAGATTTAGAACACTAAGTTGATTTTCATGAACATGAAGTTGCTTTTAATATATTCAGTATTCAGGTCACTAGAGAAAAAATTTAAAGGGCATGGTTCAAATTTTAATAAAATTAGGTGAGAGCAGGTCAAAGAATATTGACCCCCCCCCCTCCAAAAAAAAAAAATTGTCTCAGGGGTGAACCAGCATTTTATCGACCTTTCATATATTTACATATCAAACAAACAATGCTATTGGATAACTTTTTCAGTATGCCATACTGTTGCCAAGTGTCCTCAATACTGAAAAGATAAAGATAAAGACTTTAGAGTATTGATGTTGTAACATCTGGTATATACATGAGAGTACCCCGCTGACATCATGTTCACTTCATGCTGCTTATTAATTCCAGTAGCTATGATAAATTTAGCATGAAATTTTCAACATCTGTGCAGCCTCAGAGCCTGAACAATACGATCAATATTGATATTAGGGTTTCTTATGTCAAAAAAAAAAAATTATCATTAAAATATAATAACCTTTATGGTTTCTGTTACAAGGATTATTCTGTTACAAGTATTGGTTGTGTTTTTCCTCAGGGAAAAAAGTTAATAAATGTTTGTTGATTAACAAATTTCTTACTCGTATTGAGATTCCACTACTTGCCAATACCGGTATAGACCTATACTTGGCACTTGAGCAGTGAGGGATCTTTTTTGTGCAGCTACTGTGACACAGGACCTTGGTTTATACGGTCTCATCCAATGGACCGGTCTCCATGTCCAGCAGTGGGATTCAAACCCACGACGTAAGGATCAACTCCTTACACCGCAACTCTAGAGTAAATGCTCTTACCACTGTGCCACATGGGTGATGAGAACACAGTTTGTTTAATGTATACTTGACACTTACAGTAACTGTATATGTATGTCATGGTGTATTAAGGACTTCAGTTCACATTCATTCAGTCCATTATCTCTTTTACAGACAGTGCTAGAGTGGAGTCATGAGAAATATGCTGCTGTGTTCAATTCATACAGTGACAACATTGCTGGCAGGTCATTCCGCACCAGGTTTAAAAAGTTTACAAGTTACTCCTTTGGACAAATTGACTATTTCTGTGTTATAACCTTGTACAGAATGCAACAGCTTTGTTGTCTACTGATAAAATTTGCTTGTTTTACAGACTGTGCACACCCCTACCCATTGACATCGTCTACACCTGGGTAAATGGGACTGATCCCAGACTGCTTAGTGAGCTACGGGCCTTCAAAATGGGACTGGAAAAAGAACACAACATTACAAAGTAAGATTTTAGAAGCTATATTGTTTGATAATAAAACTTACAATATGATAAACTTTTTGAAGTTTCATATGACAAATTTTGTTGTGAGTTGCTTGTTTTTTTAGGTCTACTATTACAAATGAGTAAGTTATATCTTAATAAAAATATCTGGTTTGCTAGACAGGTGCTTTTTAAATGCTAGGAGAGTTAAAATTTATTTTAAGTATTGCATGCTAATTGCAACAATGTATAGTAATTGGTTAATGGTACAGTACAATATATCTGGATAGCAGACACAGGTTTTCACTTTTGGTTTCTATGTACAGTTTTCTCTTAAGCTGAACAGATAGTTTTGCAGTAAGTAACAATTAAGATATTGAAAGAACTTGAATTCTGATACAAGGAAACAAGAATTCCACAATGTGAGGGTAGCTGGCATGAAAGCAACATTGCTAGGGAGCAAGAGCGATACTGTAATGCAGCAAGAGCAATAATGTAAGGAAGCAAGAGCAATAATGTAAGGGAGAAAGAATAATAATGTAAGGGAGCAAGAGTGATAATGTAAGGGAGAAAGAGTGATAATGTAAGGGAGCAAGAGTGATAATGTAAGAGAGAAAGAGTGATAATGTAAGGGAGAAAGAGTAATAATGTAAGGGAGTAAGAGTAATAATGTAAGGGAGAAAGAGCAATAATGTAAGGGAGAAAGAGCAATAATGTAAGGGAGAAAGAGTGATAATGTAAGGGAGAAAGAATGATAATGTAAGGGAGAAAGAATGATAATGTAAGGGAGAAAGAGTAATAATGTAAGGGAGCAAGAGTGATAATGTAAGGGAGCAAGAGTGATAATGTAAGGGAGCAAGAGTGATAATGTAAGGGAGAAAGAGCGATAATGTAAGGAAGAAAGAGCAATAATGTAAGGGAGAAAGAGTAATAATGTAAGGGAGAAAGAATGATAATGTAAGGGAGAAAGAGCAATAATGTAAGGGAGTAAGAGTGATAATGTAAGGGAGAAAGAGTGATAATGTAAGGGAGTAAGAGTGATAATGTAAGGGAGAAAGAGTGATAATGTAAGGTAGCAAGAGTAATAATGTAAGGGAGTAAGAGTGATAATGTAAGGGAGTAAGAGTGATAATGTAAGGGAGCAAGAGTGATAATGTAAGGGAGAAAGAGTAATAATGTAAGGGAGCAAGAGTAATAATGGAAGGGAGTAAGAGTGATAATGTAAGGGAGCAAGAGTGATAATGTAAGGGAGAAAGAGTAATAATGTAAGGGAGAAAGAGTAATAATGTAAGGGAAAAAGAGTAATAATGTAAGGGAGAAAGAGTGATAATGTAAGGGAGAAAGAATGATAATGTAAGGGAGCAAGAGTAATAATGTAAGGGAGTAAGAGTGATAATGTAAGGGAGTAAGAGTGATAATGTAAGGGAGCAAGAGTGATAATGTAAGGGAGTAAGAGTGATAATGTAAAGGAGCAAGAGTGATAATGTAAGGGAGCAAGAGTGATAATGTAAGGGAGCAAGATTGATAATGTAAGGGAGTAAGAGTGATAATGTAAGGGAGTTAGAGTGATAATGTAAGGGAGTAAGAGTGATAATGTAAAGGAGCAAGAGTAATAATGTAAGGGAGAAAGAGTGATAATGTAAAGGAGAAAGAATGATAATGTAAGGGAGTAAGAGTGATAATGTAAGGGAGCAAGAGTAATAATGTAAGGGAGTAAGAGTGATAATGTAAGGGAGCAAGAGTGATAATGTAAGGGAGAAAGAGTAATAATGTAAGGGAGCAAGAGTAATAATGTAAGGGAGTAAGAGTGATAATGTAAGGGAGTAAGAGTGATAATGTAAGGGAGCAAGAGTGATAATGTAAGGGAGTAAGAGTGATAATGTAAAGGAGAAAGAGTAATAATGTAAAGGAGAAAGAGTAATAATGTAAGGGAGTAAGAGTGATAATGTAAGGGAGCAAGAGTGATAATGTAAGGGAGAAAGAGTAATAATGTAAGGGAGAAAGAGTGATAATGTAAGGGAGCAAGAGTGATAATGTAAGGGAGCAAGAGCAATGTTAAGAAGGAAGAGCAATAACGTAACAGAGCAAGAGCTGTAATGTAAGGGAGCAGGAGCTATATTGTAAGGGAGCATGAGCAATAATGTATGCGAATAAAAGTGATAATGGAAGGGTGATGGAAATCACCCAAGGATGGCAATGCCAAGACAAGAGAGGGAGATAAGCAACAACCTCACGTCACTCTTTTGCTTTGTTGCCCCCTCATTTTTGCTTTGTTGCCTTTAGAGCAAGAATGCAGGTGAGAGCATGTCCCCATTAGTTCTCCTGCTTATGAGTTTTCTGTGACATAAGGTCTTAGATACATGTAGAAGCTAAACCTTATTTGCAAACAAAGAATTTATAAACTTGTTTGCAATATAATTTCTTTATTCCACTCTTTTGTTTAGGGAGGAGAAGTGTGTGTTTGCCAACTGCTTGGCCACAAATCTGTTGGTTTTGGATCCCATTATTCCACATGGAACCACTCTGGAGGATCTTACCAGAATCAAATCTGAATTCTCTCAGGCCACAAAGACATTCACTGTGAACTCCCCTTCCATCTCCAACCTCAATTTCACAGTGGTTGAATTCACTCAGAAAGAACCGGGTGAGTCTGTTCTTCTGTGTGATACCGTTAGCATTAAGGTATATTTTATAAAAATTATTTCTTTTGTGTCTTTCTCAAAGCTGTCTCTCTCTAGTTTTAAGGGTGTCTTACTATCATTATGTCTCTGAGTTAGGACTTTCAGTTTGTTTATCTATCTTCCTCAGTCTATCCTGCAATCCGCATATCTCTTTGTTAGGTTAGTGATACCAACACTAAACAAAATTATGGGCTTGCATTATGTGTCCTGAAAAATCAAAGAATTTGGTGTTTCATCTTCAAAAAAAAATACTGTAGATCACCAAATTTTCGCGACACCTTATTTTTGCGAGATGGTCAATGTCTCTTAATTAACGAGACAAAATTTTCACAAATTGTGGTTATTGCTCTATATAATCATAAGGATTACTATTATACGCGACAATGAAATTTTCGCGAGCACAGTCTTGCGTAATTACGCGTAAATAAAGTTCTCGCAAATAAAAAGTTATTTACAGTATATTAGATTTTGTTTTGTTTGGCTTCATTTTTCTTTGATGTTATGGATAATTATTGTATGTATGACCTTTCCTTAGTGCTATCATCCAATCAGAATTATCCTCTGGTACCTTTATGTGTACAATATATAAACCCCATCAAGGTTGAGAATGTATGAGGTTGAATGAAATAGCTGCATTATTACCATTGTATCTTATATCTCTCTGTAACAGCCTGTAGTCTCCATGACTATCAAACTCTCAGCAGCCAGACCATATGTTCACTTGTACACATACTTATAATCAATGATAAGTATTTCTATGAAGCAAGATGAAATGAAAAACAGTTGTAGTACTCTTTAACACACATTTTCTGTTACGTTAACTTAATTGTTATGTTACTTGTATTCTCAATCTTTTAGTGCTTTCTTTGATGAACCATTCTTTAATTATTGGAAAACAGAACTTCACAATGACAAGGGGATATTATGTAAGTACTGGTACATACATGTCATTTTGAAGAAAACTTATGTAGTGCTAATCCATTTTAAAACTTAAATTGTGTTTATTTCCCAGACCAGTGATTGGACTGTCCACAACAGCATCCTGTTGTCTGACACAATCATCATGGCGGGGTTCCCGTCCAAATACTCAGCTGATGAACTCAAGGAGAAACTGCCAGAAAAGGCCAGAGAAGGGATAGACAAGGTAAACTTATATATACAGTCTAATACTCAGCTAATGAACTCAAGGAGAAACTACCAGAAAAGGCCAGAGAAGGGATAGACAAAGTAAACATATATGTACAATCAAATCTGTATATGTAATACTCAGTGTGACTATCAGAAATCTCCAACATGTTCAGTGGTTTAAAATATCAAGTTGTCAGTACAGTAAAACATGGTTATAGTGAACATGTTTATAATGAATTCACACATACAGTGAAGTGATTTTCTTTCCCCCGTGATTTTACACCGCATTGTAAACTAAACAAATATAATGAATTATGTTTATAATGAATCAAAATTGTACGTCCCTAGCACTTCTCTATAATGTATGAGACTCAAGATTATATTTAATTAAATTTGGAATCAAAGATTTTGGCTTAATTAATAGATATTGTTATTAAGATACTAAAGTAATAATGCTTCATATGTAAATTCATTGTAATATTTCGTAATAGAATTATTGCTTTATTTGCAGATCACCATTGATACAGACTCAGGCCTGGCTGTCTTATATGTTCCAGACAAGAAGTCATTTGATATTTTAGTTACAGTATGTTGGCTTACACAGTTTTAATTGGAATGACTAAAAGGATGAAGGGGTTTTTAAGCTTATGACTTGCTCATGAATTTTTGTTGTTTACAGGCACAAAATATTTCTATTGATGGTAAAAAGCCCACTCTCAATGCAGCAAACCTTGTTTGGGACCTCAGGGATGTAAGTGATTATAGTTAAATACTGTTAGAGCTAAGGTTTCTTGATATATCTAGAATTCATTTTATCTAGTTAGTGCTTCAGTAATTCTTAGCACTTTGTGACAAAATATAACTATAATGTAAAATATAATATTAATACTAGCATGATTTTGTCATAAGAATTCTCTATATTTGATACATGTATTTACCATAAGTCAGCAAATACCCCAGTTTTCTTTTTTTCATAAATATGAAGTGCAACAAATCCTTCTCAAATTGATATTCAGAAGTATTCCTAATATTTTTTTTTCAAAAGAAATGTCATTAACAAGTAAAAAAATATAAGATAGGTTCAATTTTGATCTAATGTAGTGTTCAACTAGTGGCAATACAATGACACTATCAAATGAGGAAATTGCTACATATTTCAGTTTAGTCGTGACGAGGATATCTCGAGCAGTAGATTTGAGGACAATGATGAGTTAAGATACTCATTGAGATCAGTAGAAAAGTTTGCTCCCTGGATCAGACATGTCTTTATCGTGACTAATGGACAGATTCCTCATTGGCTGGATCTGGAAAATCCAAGAGTTACCATAGTTACACATGAGGTATCTCCAAAATTTTATGATTAGTTCCACTGTGAACTGCTACATTGTACAGTGATTTATGAACATGATATTTCTCTGTGTTTCTTTTACGAAGCTTAGAAGACTTTATGTAAAGTCAAATAGAAATAAACATTAAGTAAAGAGTTGAGGTCAATCAACAGATTAAAGCATTTAAATTGATGATTTACAACTCACACTTATTTTTTTGCTACACAGGAAATATTTCCCAATAAGAGCCATCTTCCAACCTTCAGTTCCCCAGCCATTGAGGCAAACATCCACAGGATTCCTGGCCTGTCGAAGAAATTTATCTATATGAATGACGATGTAATGTTTGGTAAGGAGGTGTGGCCTGAGGATTTTTTCACCCAGGCCACGGGACAGAGAGTTTACCTGACTTGGCCTGTCCCCAGCTGTCAGGAGGGGTGTCCCTCCACATGGATCAATGACGGGTATTGTGACAAGGCCTGTAATAATTCCGAGTGTGACTTTGATGGAGGAGACTGCTCAGGTTTGTCATACAAAAATAACAGAGCCAAATTTTGAATTTTAAAAGATAAGAAATATTAAATTAAATGATCTTTTGAAGAATTATTTATAAAAAAAAATTCAACATGTACATGGGTATAATGACTTATTCAATAGCAAATTTGCTTATTCAGAGTGAAGTTTTAGTGTTCATCTATTTTTATGGCCTCAGAAGACAAAATTGATGATGTGTTAAATAGTGCTATGTTTATTTTAATCAGGAGAGAAAGCTCAACAGGGAGGGGGAGGGGTACAGTGGCCGGGGTATGGACACAGTGCTGAGAGTGAAAACAGTAAGTTCTAATAACTTAATACTAAGAGGGGCTCTGAACATTACATCGATATATCATGGATATGACATTAAACACTGTAAGCATCATTTAATTTTCATCAGTCTTGAGTCCTGATACAGAGTGCAGGTTATTTGTTAAGAGTTTAAGATACATGTATATATATGCTTTTCAAGAAAAAAAAGTATATGATTGCATTTTGACAACCTTCAGTAGCAACATTTTTGGAATATTTTTCTTTTCTGACAGAGTACTGTAACAAGGGCTGTGCCACATCCTGGTTAGCAGACAGATATTGTGATACGGTAAGTGTGTCTGTAGATCTACTTGTCAAAGAGCTAATGCATTAGTAAGGTGTCTATTGTCTGTCCACCTGTCCATTTGTCTGTGTGTCTCTCTGTCCAACTGTTAACATTTTTTTCAAAACACTACTCCTCCTACAGTTTGGGTCTAGGATTTTCAGAAAAATCTTTGAAAGTCTGTACTAATCATCTTGTATGCTTTTTTTCAGTCCTGTAATGTACACAACTGTGGCTATGATGTAGGGGATTGTGGAGTGAATAATTATAAGGATTTATACGAGATCAAGCTGTACGGAAATACAACAAAGTATGCTGTCCCACCAGGTATGTGATGTAGTACTGCAGCATTTGAGTACATGTATTAAGTACATGTATATGTTTGAAGAAAAGCACTGAAATATTGGTCTTCGATCACAAAAGAGTCTGCTCTTTTATCTGCTCTTTTAGTTTCACAATATATCCACTCAAGTGGTTTCAAGTGTATTGTAAAGTCAAATAATAAAAGTGAGCTTTATATTTTAGAAATTAGAATTATTTTTGGTGTCTGCCAAATGTAGCTATGATATAGAGTATTTGAGGTCTAATTCTTTTATCAGAGAAGCCCCCTTTATCTTTTGGCTCAGATGAGCTAAAAAAAAAAAGCAGCTATTTGAAGCTCAAAGATCAACCAAATCTACTTTGTAAATTTGTGTTTTGTTATGCTTACTTAAAATTTCATTGCTTTGCAGTGTTTGTTTTTAAGGTAGGTCACGGGTTTACTGCTTAAAAATTCTTACGAGAAAATTAACATATCCTGAAAATTTGATATAATGTTCCTTAGAATTTATAGTACATGTATTTTATCTGTAATTTTTATTAAATTTGTCTACGCAGTTTTAATGCTGTATTACTGTACAGTATAGTTTTTGGTACTATTTTTACGCTTTACTATTGAAATATATAGAAAAATGACGTTTATAAGCCAATTTTGCGGAAAGAGTTTCTTAAAAAAGGTTGGATAACTTTTTAAAGACGTAGACGAATTAGTCAGGAATTTCAAAATATCCAGATGAGGTAAAATTAAAACTATTGAGATAAAAAAAAACAATATGTCTTCTCGCTAGTTTTTTTGCTAAATAATTTCAAAGTTTGCTTTTATATTGCCAAAATGTTGCGTTTATGGTGTTATTTATGACTACAACGTCATGTGTTGAACATAATCACGTTTACATACGAGTATAAATATCTTTACATTTGGAATATGCAAGATCTGAAAGGTGACATAGTTGCAAAATGTAATTTTATTCATCATTTCACTTATTGCGGAAACATGTAAGGATGACCAGCAACTTATTAACATTAGTATTGTGAAATTCATATTCTGCCCACAAAGTCAGAATGATATTGTATATTATAATAGACATTTCTAGTGTATTAGAATTAACATGCAGCGACAACACGGCAAGTGATAAAGTATTAATTCATGAATTTTTAGGATGTTCATGTTCAGTAAGATTTCAGGCATAACACATGAATTTGATCACTTCATTCAAAAACGGCGAGGAAAAAACATCCCAATACTGAGAAAAATGGGGGGGGGGGTTACCGGCAATGTTCTTTCTAGATTAGTCGCAAGCTGGTATATAGCCCTAACTCTCAAACCATTCTTAATTTCGAATTCTCTCAATCAAATTTCCATAATATGCAAAATGTAAAACACTTGAATTTAGCTTATACACAGAGAGCTTTTCTTACATAGAAAAAATGTACTTGATACTTGTAAATTGTTTACAGTGTCATATAGGTCTGATAGTCCGGGTGTTTGTTAAAATTTATTTTTTAAATGCATTTCACAATTTGTTAGCCTGCATATATACATAGTGACTACACGAGATTCAAATACAAAATAAACAAATAGTAATTATGATGATTGAAATAATGATAAGTAACAGGAAAATACATGTACTGTAATTAAATTTCATCCGTTTTAGTGTTGAGGATTGATTCCATCCTGAAAAAGTTTCGCCCCGGCAAACATGGTGTAATATGCACTTCCCTTTGAGGTGCAAATTACGTGCGCACATACAACCCTTCAAATTCTTGGCTAAAAAATTTACGATAATTTTCTTTTTGCATACCATAACTTTTACGCTGACTCATTTTGATTGACTTTTAGCAGTTTAGTAACACTTACATTATAAATTATTCCTTTCATTTGTTGTCGTATTTGTTAGACTAAGACATTACACATACTCACATCAGAATTCAGACTGTCATTTAATAATACCCGATCATGGTTCATACATGTACGAGGTTTACGTACAATAGCATGCACTTTGAATTAATCTACTTGATTCGTACCTGTGGACTAATGATGAAGTTATTTTCAGAGAATTATACGGGAAACAACACAACGTCGCCTTTGTGACGTAACTGACGTCATAATCAAATGTGCACAAAACAACCACTCGAATCGTTGAAATTGTGCACCAAAATTGATGACAAAAGCAAACCCACGACCTACCTTAAATCAGTGCACGTAACTAAATTTTGTCCTTGTCTTTTTGTATCTCAAACTGAGACCTCAGCCCATGATTTATATAGATACAGGTTAATTATAGTTTATCTCTTTCAGGGGAGACAATTGCTTTCTTGAACCTGACAGAACTGATAGGTTCAGAGGGCTCTATACTTAGTGCTGGTCACAACAAGTCAGATGTCGTCCGGTCAGCCTCAGTAGCCAACAAGTTCAAGGTCATCACTATCCTTCTGTACAGTGACCACAACAGAACTGCTGTTAGTTTCAAACTGAAAGGTCACACTGGAAATGACACAAACACATTTAATGTAAGATATTAAAATTTTGTTTATATTTGGTAAGGCATCAATTCTATCACAGTATCAAGAGTTATCACTCGGCACACCTCGGCTGATTCGTACCTCATCTAACCTCGGCTGTATCATGTAAACCTCCATTGAACCGGAGCTACTTTATAGGCAATATGGCTGCGTCCTATAATTACACATGCACAGTGTGCTGAATCCGATTTGTTAACAAACATGTGACTATGTAAAGATATAAGTGCATGTTTCTTGGTAGGTGTTATTCTTAGTGTTACCTAACTGCTTTTGAAAACCTTTATCGTGTGTCTGATGCTTGTTTATTATCATTTTAAAAGCGTTATGTTTTCCCCAAGCTGTAAACAGGCAGCCTTATCACAAATATTAGGCGGAGACGCATATCAAGTTTCCTCGTACAGCCAAGGTTTGATGAAGGTGACGGAATCAGCTGAGGTTTGTCGAATGAAGAGTTATAGCCCTTTTTTGCAAGTCTACCTTGAAAGATACTGTATTAAAATTTATTAATGCCCCCCTCCCCATAGAAGGCTAAACATGCTTAAAAAATTAAAAGATTTCTACTGAATAGAAAATATTAAAAATATTTTTGTTCTTAACAGTTTACCTTCACCCTGATGACAGACACAAAGCAAAGGAAGTCAGCAGAGATTTTACAGAAAATCGCAAACAATACTCAACATAACATTACAACTACAGAAAAACCTTATATCTATGATGTACCAAAACACAAAAGGTGGGCATTAAGTAATCCTTCTGTATTATTTATCTGCAATTTTTCACTGCAAAACAAGGAAACAAAATAAAAAGAAAGAAAGAGGATGCTTTCATTTTGAATCTATGTTCTCTTTGGAATGTTGAGTATAATACTGCATTCTTACTTTAATAGAAAAGATTGTATATGAATATCAATCAATTATCAAGGATAAATTTAGTAAAATGAAAACTTTTTACTGTGTCTAAGCAAATGTGTCAATGTTTAGAGGCCCTAAAAAAACAGTAAATGTAGTCAAGTTTCCAATGATGCCTCAGTTGGTGAACCTCAGTGCTGAACCAATGCCAGAGGAACTGCAAGAAGAATGGAAATCCATAAAGAAAGAACTTGAAAATGGTAGGTTGTTAACAGTATAGCAATGATTCATGACTCATTCAGTGAAGTGTAGTTGTATGTGCATTCTGTTGATGAACCTGATTGTGTAATGAATTTGAAAAAGCTGGGAAAGTAAGTTTGTTTATGGTAGCACATTTGCAGGGTTGTCACTGAGAATTGAAATAGGAGGGGACATTATAAAAGTAAAGGGGAGTCTGGGGTTCACCCAGGGGGAGGGGGAGTTTCAGAGTAGCCAGGGGATAACATCATTATGGGTGGGGAAATTCCCCGGGTCTTAGGACAACCCTGCATGTGCCTTGATAATGTTATATTAAAAAAATGGGAAAAAAAACAATGCACACAGATACTCTATTTATATTTCAGGGGAAATTACTGAGAAAGGATTCCAACTCAAACAAGGTTTGTTGTGGAAGAAATACCAGAGCTATCTGGAGGAATCAAGGCAGGGAAACATCCAGAGGCGGAGCCTCCTGTCAGTGATTAGAATGAGGCCTCAGCCAATCAGAGACCTTGCTCTGACAGAGGAAGACCTTGATGATGTCATCAGAATGGGGAGTGAACCTGAGAGTAATCTCCCCTGGGAAAAACTTGGGGTGTTCAGCAAACTGACACAGGTAAATTCAAAGATAATGATGTAAGTACCTAAAAATGGTAATTTGTATACAAATCTTTCAAATATCAGAGATGTATCAAGAGAGTCAGTGACCCACTGCCATGTAAACATATATTTGGTATACACTGTTTTCAAAGTTTTAGTCATCTTGTTGTTGTCTGAAACATTTGACCATTTTAGTCATTTAATTTTCATAATGAATAGACCAATCCTAGCTTGTAATTTGATTGCTCAAATAGGCTAACATATTTTGTAGGTACATAAACTGGAAACTTTTTCTAATTGCAGAGTAATTTTCCTACATGCATGGTTGCATATTCATACTTGTTTCAATTTTGATGTTGTTTCAGGAGAAAGAAAACCAAAAGACTATGGAGGCATACACAGCACCAGTGTTCCGAGGTCGTCAACTTCTGGATATATTTGGGGATTCCCTGAGACATGTCAATCGTTTGTATAACAAAGCCTTTGGTTACACTGCAAGGAAGGTCCCAGGTCACATGCCACATATGGTGGACAAGGATATCATGAATGAACTTCATGAAAGGTTAATAGAAGATCCTTACATGTCTGTTGGTTCTCCTCAGTATTGCTAGATGTCAGAAACAAAAAAAACAAGGCACAAGTCAGAGACTCATTCTGTATAAGTGAGCTCAGTAGAAAATTAATAGAAAATGAAAAATTGAATGAAATTATGCAAGTTGGTCAGTTATCTTCTGAAGAAATCTACGTTGACCTTTTAGTACTACATGCTGTTATAATTTCATCCTTGATTTTGCATCAGGTTTCCAGCTGAGTTTGGAGTCACTTCCTCCAACAAAATCCGCAGCAGAAATGACATGCAGTTTGCATTTTCTTACTTCTATTATCTGATGGGGGTCACTAGAAACAGGACTGCTGAGGAGATATTTGAAGAATTAGACACAGATAAATCTGGGTAAGGAGGCTTTGTTGTTTATAATTAGACACAGATAAATCAGGGTAAGGAGGCTTTGTTGTTTATTATTAGACAGAGATTAATCTGGGTAAGGAGGCTTTGTTGTTTATAATTAGACACAGATAAATCAGGGTAAGGAGGCTTTGTTGTTTATAATTAGACACAGATAAATCAGGGTAAGGAGGCTTTGTTGTTTATAATTAGACACAAATAAAGCAGGGTAAGGAGGCTTTATTGTTTATATTGGACACAGATAAATCAGGGTAGGGAGGCTTTGTTGTTTATATTTAGACACAAATTAATCAGGATAAGGGGCTTTGATGTTTATAATTAGACATAGATAAATCAGGGTAAGGAGGCTTTGTTGTTTATAATTAGACACAAATAAAGCAGGGTAAGGAGGCCTTGTTGTTTATAATTAGACACAGATAAGTCAGAGTAAGGAGGCTCTGTTGTTTATAATTAGACATAGATAAATCAGAGTAAGGAGGCTTTGTTGTTTATAATTAGACACAAATAAAGCAGGGTAAGGAGGCTTTGTTGTTAATATTTAGACACAGATAAGTCAGAGTAAGGAGGCTCTGTTGTTTATAATTAGACATAGATAAATCAGGGTAAGGAGACTTTGTTGTTTTTAATTAGACACAAATAAATCAGGGTAAGGAGGCCTTGTTGTTTATAATTAGACACAGATAAGTCAGAGTAAGGAGGATTTGATGTTTATAATTAGACACAGATAAATCAGGATAAGGAAGCTTTGTTGTTTATAATTAGACAAAATTAATCAGGATAAGGGAGGCTTTGTTGTTTATATTTAGACACAAATTAATCAGGATAAGGGGCTTTGATGTTTATAATGAGACATAGATAAATCAGGGTAAGGAGGCTTTATTGTTTATAATTAGACACAAATAAAGCAGGGTAAGGAGGCTTTGTTGTTTATAATTAGACACAAATAAAGCAGGGTAAGGAGGCTTTGTTGTTTATAATTAGACAAAATTAATCAGGATAAGGGAAGCTTTGTTGTTTATAATTAGACATAGATAAATCAGGGTAAGGAGGCTTTGTTGTTTACAATTAGACACAAATAAAGCAGGGTAAGGAGGCTTTGTTGTTTATAATTAGACATAGATAAATCAGGGTAAGGAGGCTTTGTTGTTTATAATTAGACACAGATAAATCAGGATAAGGGGACTTAGTTGTTTATAATTAGACACAAATAAATCAGAGTAAGGAGGCTTTGTTGTTTATAATTAGACACAAATAAATCAGGGTAAGGAGGCTTGTTGTTAATAATTAGACACAAATAAATCAGGGTAAGGAGGCTTTGTTGTTTATAATTAGACACAAATAAATCAGGGTAAGGAGGCTTGTTGTTAATAATTAGACAAATAAATCAGGGTAAGGAGGCTTTGTTGTATATAATTAGACACAGATAAATCAGGGTAAGGAGACTTTGTTGTTTATAATTAGAGACAGATATATCAGAGTAAGAAGGCTTAGTTGTTTATGATTAGACCCAATTAAATCAAGGTAAGGAGGCTTTATTGTTTATAATTAGACAAATATAAATCAAGAAATTGTTTATAATTAGACACAGATAAATCTGGGAAGGGATGCTTTGTTGTTTAGTATTAGACACAGATATTTTGGGCAAGGAAGCTTCATTGCTTAAAGCTAGACACTCCTAATTCTGGGTAAGGAAATTTTGTTAAAACACAGATACATATTAAGAACATATGGTTGCAAATATTTGTCATGATGAATTTTATAAAGAGTTGTATGCAGTATATGCATATTTTTGCCCCACAAAAGTCAGATTTTGAAAATTTCTTGAAATGTGCTGAATTGTATATATTGCATGAAAAATCTAAATTAATAAAAATTATTATGTAGTTTTGAAGTAGGTTATTGACAATTTTTGTTTCTATGACGTCAAACTATTTGGATTTTGTATTATTTTTCAGAAAGAGGAAAAATGGACAAAATTTGTTCAATCTTTACTATAAAATTTATGGAGCGCAGACCTCCTCCAGAACAATATTAGCATATTTCATTGATATTATTATTCTACACATTATATCAAAACATTGAGTTGGAGCAGACCTGGGCTTGGTGACTTCCTCAAAATATCAACATAATATACACCTTTTTCAGTATAATATGGAAATTTTGAATTTACATAATTTTTCTGAAGTCATATCTAATATATGGCATCATGGCTGATGAAAATATTCAATGCTTTGAAATCTGCAGATATTTCTCTGTTTTAGAACATAATTATATTTATCCTGCAACTACCCCTTGCATTGACCTAATAAAGATAACCTAATATTAACCAAAGCTTTATTCGGTCAATGCCCTAATAAAGCCTTGTGCATGTATTCCGATGTTCTAAAAGCATTGTGACATCATGTATATTGCAATGTTTACGCCATGACGTCTTATAGTTTCAACTGCAGATGTACCTAAATTGGTTGAAAATAGCTCGTTTTGGAGGTCAAGTAAAAATATGTTGCAGGATAAACAAAATACATGGATACTGTCTTGAAATATAAGCGATATTTGGGCTCGGGTCGAAAACATGATAGAGGTCTCAGCAAGCCTCACCCTCTATTACGTTTTCTTACCCTCGCCCAAATACCGCATATATTTCATGACACTAACCATGTATTTTATATATTTCTCCATCAAAGTTTGATTTTGGGGGCAAATATTGGTCATTACTGAATATAGTCCTTTATGCTTTATGCTCCCAGCATGGAAATGGGGTTATGGGGGGGGGGGGGGGAATGATAACCCATGTATGTTCCTCTGGTGTTTGGACTTCAATGCATTAAGTTAAATAAGGTTTAGGTTGGATTGGTTACATTTGCACCATAAATAAGTTGATCTGGTTACAAGCTCACTTGTGATTGCTTTGGGATCAGTACGTGGCATTGCTTAACATCAAATTATGGTTTCTGTACAATATCTGTCTTTTTCCAGGGTACTGTCTGATAGAGAGATCAGAACATTGGCTGCCAGAGTAAATGACCTACCTCTAGAACTCAAGGTCAGATAATCCTTACACTACGAGTTGACTGGACACCATACAGATGTTATAATTTGTAATGCTTTTCTTCAATATTCATTATATTTGAGATAATAAAGCAAAGTTATTGTCATTGACTGTCATCAGGTTATTTTTAGATGTTGACCAATTTGGAAGAGCTGTTTATTAACTGCAGTCAGTCTCCCAACATCACGGAACAGGAAGTCACCAGACAGGAAGTCACCAGACAGGAAGCAGAGGAATACTATGACAAGAGAATGGTCTGAAATCAGTTTTGGCAACCCTATCACAGAATTATTTAATTTAGATGCTCAATATTCCCTTTTTTGTCTATATTTATTGTGATTTTTAGTAGATTGTCATTTTGTCATTATTATTAAAGCACTTATTGACTTATTGTTCAAGGTCCTACATTTGATAAATCCTTGGCAGAAAATATTTTACCTGTGACCTATATCCTTACTCATTAAGTCAGAAATGTTAACATTAATCAAATCAAATCTGATTGTGCATTTTTCTTTTTTTGCGATTGAGATTTATCAGTTTTAATTAATTTTAGCCCCAAGTCACAAGGGCATTGTTTACTCAGTGTGAAGAGGTCAAGGACATGGTACAGAAAAAATTCCCCCCAGTCAACAAGTACAAGTAAGAACACTAAATGTCACAGGAGTTTTTAAATTCAATTGGATAATTATGTAGTCTTTCATATTTACAATGTATACCATAGAAACAATCATATATAACATACAAAGTTATAATTCTGCACTAGAAAAAGAGGTACGTGTAAATTTACACTTCTGTGATGTCAACATATTTTTGTTGGACTGGAAATCAATGAGATACATATCGAGTTAAGAAATTGAGCTTTCAATGTATTTTTCCCCCTTTTCGATGATTACACTTTAAATAATTTTGTATATTATGTTTAGCTTATGCAGATAGAAGCAGACTTCGAAAGAAACACAAACACTAACAAAGATGTAGCAAATTCTTTCTTATGATATTATTGATCGAAGGCACAGAATTTAACAAAAAAATATTATTTAAATGCTCTTTAAAAAGAACTTTATTCTTTTTTCTGTAAAAATGGCACACTAAATGTTTAAAATGTAATTTTTGTTTTCAAGGTATACAACAGATGAAGATAGTGAAATAGCATTCAAAATGATCAAAACCAACAGCTCCACCACAGTGGGGCAACTTGATGATATACGCAAAAATCCAAAGTAAGTTTGATAGTTACTGTACAGTTGCAGAATCTTTTATATTTATGTAATTCAAATGGGAATTCTAGAGAGAATTAACATTTCGCATTGAATGATTGGTGTCCTTTATTTGCAGAAAGTTTATTTGCTTGAATGACAACATTGATCACGATAGTGAAGATGCGAAAACAGTAAGTGCTCCCATATGTATTAATCTGCATACATGTGATAAGTCAAAGACCACAAAACTGTACAAGAGCCATAAAAAAACTGGAATTTGGGTGAAAAAACTGTACACTGCCTATCAAAAAACGATACAAAAAATGGTATAAAATATCGCTTAAATTCTGATGAAATTCCATCATAATCATTGTAATAAACATCGTATATTTTATACCTAGTGCGAAGATCTGGGTCAGATTCACGTATATTAAGTCATGTATATCAATTTTAGAAGTTGGCTTAATTTTTTTCAATCAAGTTACGTATACGAAACATTAATAGTAATTAAGTACCCCTTAAAAAATAAAGCTACCTAAAGGGGTATTTGATACGGATTTATAGCAAGATAATTATCCCAATTGGCAGTTCACACCTTCGCACGCGATGGTTTGTGTACACTACACAATTATCAGAAGGTCAAGTGTCAAACACAGGTGACGTTTTCCAGTGTCTCGCGAGCGAGAATGAGAGGAAAATGGCGGCATTTAGCGAGAAATTCAAAATACTGTACAAATTTTCATATTCCGTGAATTTTGGTGTCCCGCCGGTACACGATGAATGGGCTAAAAAAACTGTACATTTTGCGTACAGCCTGTACATATCACATGTATGAATCTGTATGACTTCCATACATAAGAAATCAGGGTTTGATTCTTCTACCTGCCTATTCATGTATGAACTAGGTTTAAATTTCACTCAATATTGAAAATTTATGTAAAACAGTCTTTGATCAATAGGATTCATTGGCCAGATCCAATGAAAGTGGCATTCACCAAGAGTGACTTCACATAGTTTGCTAATAGTATTAATTATTTTTTTCATTTTTGCTCTTTCATTTCTGCATTTTGATTTATTTTGAAGCACTACATATGTAATTGAACTTGGTTATCTTAAACACAGATATCTCAAATACCAGGGATATGTCAAAGTGATTTGGCAGTCCCAACCACTTTTTCTTTGTTTTTAGCTCACCTGAGCCGAAGGCTCAAGTGAGCTTTTCTGATCACATTTTGTCTGTAGTCCGTCTGTCCGTCTGTCTGTCTGTCTGTCCGTCTGTCCGTCTGTAAACTTTTCACATTTTCGACTTCTTCTCCAGAACTACTGGGCCAATTTCAACCAAACTTGCCACAAAGTATCCTTGGGTGAAGGGGATTCAAGTTTGTTCAAATGAAGGGCCACGCCTTCTTCCAAGGGGAGATAATTAAGAATTCGTGAAAAATTAATGGCATCATTAAAAAATCTTCTTCTCAAGAACCACTGTGCTTGAAAATATGAAACTTATGTGGAAGCATCCTCAGGTAGTGTAGATTCAAGTTTGTTCAAATCATGACCCCTAGGGGTCAGGTGGGGCCACAATGGGCGATCAAAGTTTTACATAGGAATATATAGGAAAAATCTTTAAAAATCTTCTTCTCAAGAACAGCAAAGCCATGATTGGTCATATTTATATGGTAGCATCCTCAGATAGTGTAGATTCAAGTTTGTTCAAATCATGACCCCCAGGGGTCGGGTGGGGCCACAATAGGCGATCAAAGTTTTACATAGGAATATATAGGAAAAATCTTTAAAAATCTTCTTCTCAAGAACAGCAAAGCCATGATTGGTCATATTTATATGGTAGCATCCTCAGATAGTGTAGATTCAAGTTTGTTCAAATCATGACCCCCAGGGGTCGGGTGGGGCCACAATGGGCGATCAAAGTTTTACATAGGAATATATAGGAAAAATCTTTAAAAATCTTCTTCTCAAGAACAGCAAAGCCATAATTGGTCATATTTAAATGGAAGCATCCTCAGATAGTGTAGATTCAAATTTGTTCAATTCATAACACCCCCTACCCCCCCACCCCACCCCCGAATTACTTTTATATTTAAACTTTTCAACCTTTCAAGACTCAACTGATTTCTGCTTTTCCTAGCCATAGTGCTCAGGTGAGCGATGTGGCCCCCGGGCCTCTTGTTTAACCTCGTTATCTTGAATCCTCTGATGTCTCAAAGTTTAATCTCAGTCCTGTCAAGGTCAAGATAGTCAGGTTTGACTTTACTTCTAATTTTTTTGTTAAAATTAAGGATTTAGAAATACCAGTACTTTCTTAAGTGCATGTATATGTATACTTATTTTTAATGTTTTGTTCCAAAGGTGAAGGCAATACTCCAGGATTTTTACGAGGCCCTGTTCCCACTGCGGTCTCAATTTGAGCTTCCCCGGGAGTACAGAAACCGCTTTAACCACGTGGATGAACTGCGAGAGTGGAAGGTGTACCGTGATTGGATGAGGTTGCTGACGCACCTATCTATAGTTTTACTCATTCTTTTTATGATCTCGTCTTATTTTTATGATCAGGTAAGTAAAAATTTTATTTCATTTAAACAGTAACTTTTGATATATGACATTCTCTTTAAATTTCCTGTTTAATGGTGATTGATCACATGGAAATTTTTGATGGCTGTGTAATGTAAGTTAATAAATCCTTTCATTCATGTAGGTCTAAGCGTATTGAACTATAAGTTCAATCTAATTAAAATCAGATCCTTTGATCTGCTCACATAGATCACTACACAAGGATCTGAAGAAACTCCATTTAGGGTCATCTCCTGGTGACCTTTCTGATAGAAATATTCATTAAAATTTCACCAATCAGAGAGATCATACTTAAGTGACATTCGGGAAATTGAAAGTAGAAGTGAAAGTAGCTGTAGAGAAGATTTTATTGTTTTGTACAAAACAAAGAGCTAAAAAACAGAGCAAAATCAAATACTAAATATATTTCTGTACAGAAAAGACTGTGGTTGCTCTTTTGACAGGCTGTGGAAACCAGGTCACAATTTTCCGTTGGTATATAATTTGGGCTTTACTTCTGTTACTGAATTCCAAGATACTTCTAAAGTTTTGTCAGTGAACATTGGATTGGATAATTTAAAGGTCACCAGTAGATGACCCTGAATGGAGTTTCTTCAGATCCTTGTGTAGCGATCTATGTGAGCGGATCAAAGGATCTGATTTTAATCAGATTGACTACAAGTTTTATTTATGTTATAAAATTTGAATTTATATATTGTCATGAAGTAATAAAATTTTTTAATCATTGAATATTTACAGATTGAGTCCTGTTACAGGAAATACTGCAGACGACGAGTCCGAACTTCCTCTGGCAGTACCTCATCAAGCTCCTCGGGGACACTGATCACCGTTTGACGGTGGCTGCTCTGGCTGATTATGCCAGATGTTTTAATGGTGCTCCTTTTTGTGATCATGTTTTTGCTGGTCTGTCTGTTTGTGGCAGAAGGTAGGATGTTTGGTTGAGTGAATGCCCCTTCTCTTACTGCTTGTTGATCTCAGACAGAAACATATCATTATGATGTCATATAGACAGAAAAAATCTCCTCAAACACTGTGTGCAATGATGTAGTACATGTACTTATTACTTATGTCTGAATGTGTGAGGATTGTAAAGTGATAGGGGGAGTTAATAGGCAGGAGAGAGGATCTTTGTGATCTAGAGCACCATTTTAACTGAAGGTAATCAACCAGAGCGAGAAATTGACTTATATTTTCTTAATTGTGTATGATACTTTTATTATTTTGTTCATGTTTTTATACATATGTACATGTATTTATTTCCTTTCTGGATTAATCAATTAATGTCTCCTCTGCTATGCATTATGTACACACATTATGACACAACAGTATAAGTATAGAGTTTACAATTTCTTTTAGCTCACCTGAGCCAAAGGTGCAAGTGAGCTTTTCTGATTGAAGGAAAAAGTGACTGTGGTCCCTTGTTGTTCTGCATCTGATGTTTGTCACTCTCTGTCAGTACATTTACATGGACATAAAAAATTATTTTTTAAAATTCTTTTTTTCAAAATAGCAACACCACAAATATTCAGATCATGCCCCCTCAGGCTTAGGCTAGGGCTAAAATTGGGATTCAAAGTTTTACATGGGAATATCTTGAGAGAAAAAATAAAGAAGTGTCAGACTAAATCTCAACATAAAAATTGGAGTGAATTCAATATTTTCTTTCAAATTATGTACCCTGGGGTTACATGTAGGTTGTGTCTAAATATGGGAATTAAATTTCCATAATACAAGTTTAGGACAATATCTTCTTCTCCAGCTCAGCAAGACAGCATAAATCATATTGATATTGACCTGAATCCCCATGAAGTGTGAATTCAGGTTTGGTTAAGTCATGACCCCTTGGGGCAAGGGTGGGGCCACATTTGGAGTCAATCATTAAGAATCCAGAGGAAAAATCTGATGATAACAGCGGGGCCAGGTGACATAGGTGAGTGTTGTGGCCTATGTACCTTTTATATTTTTTAAAAGCCACTTGATTCTCTTTTCATTCACAACATTTATAACAAGGCAAAGATGCTTATTCATGCTGATTATATTATGTACAACCTGTGTTTATAATGATGGTAAAAAAATTAATTTCTTAAGGTTTTAATTTTGGGGATGAAGTTTTCTGATGCTAATTATATATGAATATAATAAGTGGAGAAATTTATAAGTTAAGAAAAAAAATGTTGTTCACTCAGGAAAATGGCTGCAGGTATATGTCAGCGTGTCAGTTTACACGTATATTTTTTTTATAATTATATAGAATACTCCACATTTTTGTTTTGATTATGAACCCATTCATAAATTGGATTTTACTACAAACATCCATATATTAAGCATTGCAATAAATGTAACACCACATTCCTTTTTGTATGCATGTAACATGGTTATAAAATGTCAGTTTGTTTGAATGGGAAAGGTTTATAGTTGTTTTTTTTTTAATTTCAGTATTTGAACAAGAACTATTGAAAGGTTGTTTTTTATGAGCACTATTGCAAACATTTGTCATTTATCGATCAATGAAATAATTCCTTTAACAGTATTCATTCAGTTCTTCATCCATTTTACACTAATTGCCCTAAATATGAATTTAATGATTTGGAACAATAACATTAATTGTTTTGATTTGCCTTGCAAAGTTCTTAACATGTAAGCATTTCATAATAAATTGTAACCACTCTGCATATTGACAGAGGAAATGTGGGGGCCATATTGGTAAAACCCTTACCATTTCTAAATGCTTGAGGTGAGCCATTGTTTCATGCTGTTTTATGTTGATTTCCTGTGCCTTGTAATACATTCCAAATATTGCAGATTTTAGTACTTGTTGATTCAGCAGACATGTTGGCCTGGATATTTTGTTCTTTGTTTTCATGTACTTTCATTTTGTAACAACATGTGATGTTGTAAGTAGTCTATGTTTATTTAAGAGTTTAGATGTGTGAACAAGAAAAGCATATGTGTAAATAATTTTAAGTCTGAGTGTAAAATATCGGAAAAGACTTATATATAATGTAGTATTTCTTTGTGCCGTTATGTGGGATATTTTTTGTGCATAAATACACAGAGACATAATTTTTACATGTACAGCAAATCATGTGCTAGTGATAAAAATACTCAAACAGATAACTGTGTCTGTAAAAAAACTTTCTGTAGACCAGAGAGAAAACTTGAACAACTTTTAGTGGTGTTGTTTAAATTATGATCTAAAGATTATATTTCTAATGTCGAATTTTGTTGAATATTCATAATATTGATGGTTTTAAGTGAAGTATTGAAGCGAAATCCACTGAAAAAGATGTATGAAATGTATCACCATATATTTATTATGTTTTTTATCCTGCCAAAATCTTCAGACATAAATGTAATTAAGAGAAAACTTTGCAAGCGCATTGCTTTCCATTTTATCATATGCAATATTATTACTCTAGGAAAAAGTAAAGTAATTGAAAGAACCTTTTTTCCATTCATTTGTACCTTTTGTGTTAAAGTTCAGTGGAACGAAAGTATTCACTTTGAGAAGAGGCGAAACGAAAAAACATCCGAGTAATCGGAACTCGTTCGGAATAGTAGGCGAGTAACCGGTTACTAAAAAATTTCCGATTTGACAACACTACTATTTATATACATAAACTGAGGACTTTTTCCAGTTTTTAATAATTATGAGAAATATCATAATTCAAAAGTCTATCTTCCATTAAGAACATGTCAGGGAGTCTAAATAACTAATCAAGATAAAGATTGATTGATTGATTGTTGTTTTACGTCCCATTCGAGAATTTTTCACTCATATAGAGACGTCACTAGGCTCCTATATACCGGTGAAGGGCCATTGAGCAGTGAGAGTTCTTTATCGGGCCAACGCCTACCGTGACACGGGGCCTCGTTTTTTAAGGTCTCATCCGAAGGACCCGCAACTTTCACTTCGCTTGGCGAAGGAACAGTTGCTACCTTTTTTTATCGACTTAGGTCAGTCGCGGCTGTGATTCGAACACACGACCTTCCGATCACGGAGCGAGCGCTCTACCGACTGAGCTACCGTGATGGTTTCAAGATAAAGAAGATGGGCAAACAAGGCGAGCGAAATGTCTATAGTGCGGCAAACATGAGGGCGAAAAAATAAATTTCAATTATAACAAAATTTCCTTTGATACTTCATCTAACATTAAAGTATACTTTGTGTAAAATCTCCACAATCTGCAAAAATCTCACAAAGATTAAAATTATTTTCTCATGAAATAGCATACACACATTGAATAGGACAAAAAGGACCATTTTCTCATACTATAACACATTTTTTCGATATGAGTGGGTCTTCACTCCATTTTTTTTTTTTGAAAGTTTATCTTTAACGTTTGCGTAAATATAGACATATTTTGGTTAAAAAAAAAACATGGAGCAATAACTTGCTTTACCTTAAAAATACACTTTTATGACACAATATTCGCATCTTTCCGAGAAATATTTGAAGTCCTTTTAGTCAAGGGTCATATCATTAAAATGATTTAAATGCCACTATTCATCAGGAGATGTGTAGCGTAGTGGTTAGCGTGTTAGTCTCAAAGGAAATTTTTATTGCTAGAGTTCGAACCCCACGCTTTTTAATAACAGAATATTTTTTGCCGAGAAAATTTTCCTCAGAAAAGTTTTGTTCCTCATACTTTCATAAATTTCAATAATGAGAACTTCACTCTGAATACTTACACACAAATACAGATAGTGACAATGTGAGATTTTACACAAAGTATACTTTAATGTTAGATGAAATATCAAAGGAAATTTTGTTATAATTGAAATTTATTTTTTCACCCTCATGTTTGCCGCACTATAGGCATTTCATGAAATATCAAAGGAACACAAATTGAAGATGATTTTTATATATCTGAACCTACATGTATAGGCATTCTGCACGCCTTGTTCACCCATCTCCTTTGGAATACTGTAGACTAATGGTCATTAGCATAGTAATACATATAGATTAATGAGAGTATGTACAGAAAAGGATGAAAAAACGTGCGTGTCGAAGCAGCAAACTTCGTAAATAATTTTCTGAAAATGGCAAGTTTAATCTTCCTTTTATACTCACATTGTCACTATCTGTATTATTTTGTCATTGTCCGATGGCTTTCGAACATTTCAGTCTCTTCTTCTTCTAGAACCACTGTATTAGGATTCAAACACGCTTATTTCTATTTAGCATGAATCAGATTGGTTCATAATTTTGTGTCTATTGCGATAGAGAAATATAAATACTTGACAAACATTTTTTTCTCTCTTTCTTATGGGGAACTTAAAAAAAACTCAGATCTCACTAGTGGTGGAAATAATGTTGATTCAATTGCGACCTTGTCGACACTAACAAAAGTCAATTCAGTGGCGATCTCGTCAACACTAGCTTCGTTCGAGGACCAAAACAAGGAAGATGAGCATGAGAAAACATGGTTTACTAAAAACATCAAATATGTCGTTAAAAAACAAAACATTGACTTGTGATACTGTACAACTAATATAATTTAAGCATCCTCATGTTTTTATTTACATATTTATTTGTATACTTATTCAAATCTTGTCCCTTCGGCCAAGTTCGGGTCAAGCTAGGCTATAAATTTTTACAAATAATCTTAACTTAAAAACGAGGTTAACAAACGAGCGTAGTGGCAGCATGATTTATGTGACTATAAGACCCACATCTTTTATTTTCTATTAATTATGCAAAAGTAAGAATCTGTTCTTAACCGATTTGCCAATTCTTGCCGATACTTGCACACCATGTAAAAATCAAACTTTTAGTCTATGACGTCATACGAGAAGGTAATGAAGATAATTCAGTTAAAACGACAGAACACCAAAAATAAGGTTAAACGACTTCACCGATATTTTATTTTAAAATATTTACTTCATGGATTTACACTGATAGCACGGGCATCTAAATTACACCATGGTCTCCTCAGCTTTTCATAATGGTTAAATAAATGTAAAGATATTTCTACCCATTGTTTTCTTTTGCAGTTGGTAGGAATTTCTTGTGTAACGTATGTTTAAAACTGTGCATTTCTAAAATCATATTCAAATTTAAAGTTAATTGATAAAATATCTTTCTGATTGACAGATTCCATTTTGAGTCTTGAGAGGAAAAAAGAAAAGACCGGATCAGTTATTTCCCTTGCGCCAAGGACAGCCTTTGATGATCTATAATTATGTTCCCCAAACGAAGCTTGGGAACATATTATTTTACTCTGTTTCTTACTATCATTATTTTTCTTCTTGGGTACTTTTTTTTGTTCTCGGAAACTGCTCATCCAATTGAATCCTTTTTAGGGTTAATAGGATTGTTGTGTAGATGTGCGGAAAAAGGTCATTTTGCGCGCACATGCATGCACAAGCGGGCGCTTGCAATGAGTGAAATGACTGACATATTTAGTATAGCTGTAACTTTTATATTTTTCGATGAAATGCTTTGAAACTCAAAACATAAAGATATATTAGTAGTGTAGACAAGATGACATGGTCAAATTAGTATGAACTCACGCGCATGCACGTGTCCTTCGCTCTGATTGGCTGAAACAAAAATCTCAATATCTTCCTTGTTTTTTGACAAATTACTTTGAAATTAAGATATAGGTTTCTCGCATAATCACCAGTGTAAGATTGACTTGTCCGGTGTGAGACAGCAGTGTGAGATTTTTCTGTCTTACACTGTGTATTACTACGCCGCGAACGATAACGTAAACATTCCGTCTTTATATAAAGAAATTGTAACAATGTTAAAAAATATTACATATTACATATACTTAAAATGTTGTCATTTAACTTATTAAGATAAACTTATTTTCATTCAAAATATTGTCGTATTTTCACTTTTTAAATGGCACTATTTTTAGATCGTGGAAGGATTCTTCTTGAATGAAAATGTGTACGCTATCGGATAGATAAGTTTTTTTATTCCCAGTTTTTATCTATCTAATTAATTTACATGGACTGAAATTCATTTTATCAGTTTACACTCTGTGTAAACCATTTTCAGGTACGCTCTCTCCGATGATGTATTTAGATTTTTAATTAGATGGAAAATTTAAAGAATATATTTTTAGCCCTATCATGGCAACG